TCAAATAGATTTTACGAATATTAATATATGTAACACCTATTTATATTCATAGAACCCATCATTGATAGTATTTTTTCATCTATATAAATCCATATTATAGATCGTACTAGATTAATTTATGACGTGTGTATATGTAATTTCATCTTTGTAAGTGTAATGCTTGGTTCTAAATGTATTAGATATATAGTCTTAACCTATAATTATGTTAACATTGTGAGAAGAAAGTTTATTCCATAAGGCATTACTTTAATAATATATTATAACTAAGGCATTTTTTATGTAAACAAGAGAGTTATCGCCCTTCGTATATAGCGTGTTTACGTATTTTTTTTTTTTTTTTTAAATATTATTTAAACTATTTTTCTTTAATTTTAGTCTTTCGAACTTAAAAATTTGTACGATCGTACTTCAAAAAAGTGTGGTTGATTCTGCACAAAGCCTTCCTTTGGGAAATGTATGAGTCCTCTTCTTCTACACCCGCCCCAGCTAGGAGAAGGACAACTCCAAATTCAAAACCTGCGAGGGGTCGTCTGGAGACCTTGTGCTACACGGTGAACCAAGTCTCTGTATTTGGCCCTTAAAAAAGTGTGGTTGATTCTGCAAAAACCTTCACCACTGTGATCAAATGATTTGTGCAGGTGTCTGGTTTCGGTTTCTAGGAACTGAGTTGCCAGACACTCATTCGTCGAAATCGAGGGAGAGTTCAGTATATATATATATATATATATATATATATATATATATATATATATATATATTGTAGTTGTACTCGTTTGGTAAAATCTTAGGTAATTTGGCTTGTAATTGAACAAACCAATGCCCAAGGTAAAGTAAGGGATAAAAAAAAAAAGAACTAAGACCATGAAATTGAGGCGAAAACAATCGTCCAGAATTCAAGCTCGGGGTCCAAAGAAAAAACCTCCAAAACGAGTAAAGCAAAAGTAACTACGTAAAGTGCTCAATACGCTAAGTAGAGCAAACCTAAATATGAACCTAAAGAGCCAGGTAAACCTCCTAGGTTTCACCTATGCAGATCGTCAGGTTTACCTGTCTTTTTAGGTTCATATATATATATATATATATATATATATATATATATATATTATATATATATATATTCTTTGCAATTTCTCATTGGTCTCATGTTCTCTCGATTGTATTCCCAATATTCAGTTGATAAATTATCATCTGTGGCTTCTGAATTTTGAGGACATTTCCGGCATTCACTTCCTTAGTTCAAAATAATACAAGGATTTAGAATATCGTCTAAGGCAATGATTGATATCAAATGTCAAAAACCATCTGACAAGGAATATAAAGAACTCAAAAACATACCGTATTTATGTCTTTCTACGTAGTACATATATTTGTTGATTATATTGCTTTCATCTCGTGATCGTGAGGTCAATTGCTGACTTTCGTGGCGAAGCTCCAATTCAGCAGTCACCAACAAAACTGATATCACAGAGACGAAAGGCCTGAATAATCAAAAGAGATGCCATATTAGCGACTCAGTGGCTACCTGAAGATGACCATAGGTACTCGCTCGAAACTTAGCACGTATTAAAAAATAATGAAAATTACTCATTACTGAAATTAAATCTATATTTCTCCATTATTATATTCAGTAGTATTTGCCTTGTTTTTATAGACTTGGAAAATGTGACACCGAAATACGAAGAAGCATCGGAATAGCGAAAGATGCGTTTCAAAAGCTAAGCAAATTATTAAGAAACGGGAGAAAACAAAGACAAGTTCTTCTCTGTTGTAGTGAATGCTGAATTCTCCTCCATCAGATGAGGAGAACAGTGGAAGAAAAAAAGAGAAAAATAATTCTATTGAAGGTTGCTGGGGACAGAATAGACTGAACATGTGAACACCGACGAAGCTTTAGAGAAAGTGGTGACAAAAAACAATACTTTTTCTTAATATGAGAAAGAGAAAGGCACGTAAACAATGAAGAAGTTGTAAAGACAGTGGGGACAAAACTGACACTTAGTATCAAAGAGACATGCTGAAATATACGAAATATGACACTCAGAAAACACGTCGAAAAGAAAAGAAAGAAGGAAAGGCAAGGAACCACATACTCGACGTCCAGGTGTGAATAGATGGCGAAAGTGAGTTGGAATAATATTTGCAAGAACATAAAATGCGAGGTTGTGAAGAGCCATGATCGCCAATACCCTGGACATATTATAAATGTAGAAAATATTGTCTCTTTGCTGTAGGTAATCTTTACTATCCCAATGAATTTCTCATAATTAGCATCAATTCCTTGTTGAGGGCTTTATTCCTTAAAATTTCTAAATGTCCTACATATTCTCGTCTATAGGACATTTGGCATGGAAATCACATCACTGCCGCCAGAACTCTCTTCTTCATCTTTGAGGAGATTGTCTAGAACTCATTGATTAGATATTACATAGCCGCCCAAAAAACTTACCTTTGTTTCCGAGGACACACTTCTGTAGAACCATATTACTGGCGCTTCGAGTCTTCGAGGAAATTGTTGAGTGTTCATTATCATATAGGAAATTATGCATTATATAGATGCCCAACAAAAATATCTTTGTTTCTAAGGACAGTATTAATGAGACCCACATCACTATCGCTTCAATTCTATTCATCTGTAAGGAAATTGGTAATTAATCCTTGCCATATAGAAGATTAGATATTACATCGCTGTCCAACTCTCTTCATCTAATCTCCTCCATGGCAATGAATGCAGAACAATCTCCTCGTAGATGAAGGATAGACTTGAAGCAATAACCATCCACTGTTGAGTGTTGTTAGAAACAACAAATAAAAAGTGTTGGACAGCGATGTAATATCTAATCTACTATATGGCAATGCATGCTGAACAATCTCCCCAAAGAAGGAAGTGGACACTTGAAGCGACACACATGTTCTACCGACGAGTGTCCTCAGAAACAAAGAAAAGAGTGGTGGATGTCTATATATATCTAATCCCCTATTTTTCAGTATTCATTGCTATATCGGAGATAAGATATTTTATAGACATCAACCACTCTTTTCTGAGGACACTCGTCGGTAGAATAACATGTCTGTCGCTTCAAGTGTCTTCTTCATCTTTGGGGAGATTGTTCAGCATTCATTGCTATATAAGAAATTACATATGAAATAGCCAGCCAGACATTTATTTTTGTTTTTAAGGGCATTCTTTATTATGCCCATATTTCTATTGCTTCATGACTCTTCTTCGGGAGAAAAGAAGATTCTTCAACATTCATTGGCATATAGGAGATTAAATGTTACATCGTCGTTCAACAGATTCTTCTTTGTTTATACGGACACTTGTGAGTAGAAGCACATCTATGTCGCTTGAAATCTCTTATTCATCTGCGAGGAGTTTTTCTTGTAGTATATTTCCGCAGTAAATATTTACCCTAAGTTACTGCAGGAAAAATTCTAGCTAAAAGACAAATCAGGATCAAGTGACACCCGATACTCGTAGGACGCCACATGTACTGCATCCGTTGCCATAGTTGTGTGTCTTGGGCAAGTTAACTTGTCCATGATCCGCCATCTTTAGGCTGGTTTGAATTCTTAGCTTTTCTTCTTCTTGACTAGCTGCCCACCAAGGCCGTGTAACATTGTTTGTTATGATGTTTCAACATTGCTGTGTGTGTGTGGGGGAGAGAGATATTAATTCATAACTTTTCCAGGGGTATTTACAACTAAGTGAATGTAATGAACTTGGCTGGAATTCGAACACGGTACTCTCTTTTCATATTCCACGTCTCTATCCATTACACAATCGATAATCCCAAACGTAAATGTTTCTAGACTAAAATAAAATAAAAATTTAGATTATTTTTTACTCATAAGGGAGTAATCGAGGAGTTCATTTTTGTCGGGAGATAATATTTTAGTTCCGTTATTGCGCCAGTTTGTTATTCAGCATTGTGATACAAATGAAGTAAAAGTAAAGAGAAAAAGTATAACTAATAGCAAAATAATAATAATAATATTAATAATAATAATAATAATAATATTGAATAGCTCATTGATCTCGAATGCTGTGAAAAAATAATACTACAATAATTATGGTTATCTATGAAGGATGTTTCGATATAGCTTCGTCTAGAGAAGCAGAGAGTTTAAGGAATCTCCAACTGCAGACCAACATACAGTATTTACTACTGTATGTATGTGAATGGAGATATACCCATTATCGTCTGTAGGTATTCTACAACACTTTGCCTTTCGTATTATCTCCAAAAAAATTACAATCCCAAAATATTTTCTGATTTTAAATAATCTGCAAACGGTAAAAACCTAATCAAACCTTATTAATTCTTTCTCTTTATTAATATTCTTTAACACTCATTAACCACTTGAGTTTTAATGGCTTTAATATTCTGCTTCGAGTGAAATGACTAAAATTACATCAAAGAACATATCCCCGTAAAGTGATAAAAATTAGTAATTAATTTAGTCATTTAGTAAACTCATAATTAAATTAGTGTCAATGGATATCACACCCTGAGTCAGCGGATTAAATTACTCGCATCATTACTGACTGAGTCAGAGTACATACCCTTTTCATTTTGTCGAACGTTTTTGTTAAAGTCTAAACAGAAAGGCGAACTTACTGGTCGACAAGCAAATAGTATTTCTAAGAAGAAGGTACATTGGTACCAGGATTAGTAGCTGTAGTAGTGGCCGTTATTGGCATGGAGGTGGGACGTGTTGTCATGATTGCATGTGTAGGAGGAGGAGGAGGAGGGTGAGAGGATGAGGGTGAGGAGGAGGAGTATTTCCAAATCAATGGAAACCTCTTCAACACCCACCCACCCCCCTCATCCACTTCCCCGGATTTTCGGTTTTCTCTTACGTTGTTTTGCATTCAGAAAACTTACTCCCACGTAGACACGGAAAAGCATTTAAATGTTAAGTTCGAGTAAATACATAGAAGATGACAGTGTCGGGGTGCGAAGCGGAGAGGGTTGGGGGTGGATGAGACGGGGTGGGGGTTAGATTGTGCTCACCGCTCCTACCTCCTGCCTCCCCACAAAAGAAGACAAAACTGATGAAAAGAAAAAATTAAAAGCAACACCAACGACAACAAGAAACCCAGAAAGAGAGAGAAAGATATAGGTAGAGAAGGAGAGAGAGAGAGAGGGAGGGAGAGAGGGAGGGAGAGAGAGAGAGAAATAAATAAAGAGCTGGAGCGATAGTCAGAGGTAGAGTGTGATGAAATGAAAGCGAGAGAGAAAAAGAGATGTTTGAAACACTAGCCAGCGGTAGACGGAGGAAGTAAAAACTTACTAGATTAAAAGGTTTGTAAAGATAGACAAAAGTAAATAGAGAGAGAGAGAGAGAGAGAGAGAGAGAGAGAGAGATAGACAGACAGAGAGAAAAGGAGAGGTTCACAAAGGAAAAGGGGTAGGCGAAAGAGTGAGATTTATAATTACATTCACATTTATACAGAGAAAAAGATGCATTGGTTGTTTCACAGTACAGAGTGACAAAGAGAGAGAGAGTGTGTGTGTGAGAGAGAGAGAGTGGGAGATCAACAGGTTTGTAATGAGTTTCAAAGAGGGTGAGTGAGACGCTTGTAGCCATAGTCGGAGATAGTTACTGAAAAGGAGAAACGGAAAAAAATCTCATTACTACTTAAAAAAAAAAAAAAAAAAGAACCCGGGAAGGAGAAGACATTTGTAATTCCTAGTTCGGGAGAAAGACACACAAAGACAGATATTCAGAAAATGAGATGATCATAATGGTCTAGAGATAGAGAACGAAACAAGTAATTCTTCGAGTAAAATTAAGAATTAAACAGAGAAGCAGACAGAAAAAAAAGAGACTGAGATTCGTAGCGCCAGCCAGAGACAGAGAAAGTGAGAAAAGCGTGCTACTATATCGAGTGAAATACACAGAGAGAGATAGAGAGAGAGTGAGACAGAGAGATCGCAAAGCAAAAGAGAAAACAGAGAATTGAAAAAAGTATTTATAATAATAATAATAATAATAATAATAATAATAATAGCATCGAGGCGGGTGTTGACGGGAAAGGTGGTTGCCAGTAAAGCAAATACATAATAAAAACGAGCGTATATCAACAGGTAGTTAACGATCTTTTTGTCCGACTGAATGTCAGTTCTGCACATGCGCACAACGGCAGACGCGCGAACAGTCGCAGTTTGATGGCGCGCACACGCGCACACAGACACACCCGCACGTATATACACCACACGAAGAGAGAGAGACAGAGAGAGAGAGACATGTGTTGATAGATGCAAATATACTTACAGAGCATTTGCCACAGCCTCTGAACCTAATATCAACAAGCGTACAAACTCTATAGAAATGTGGTTATACAGCCATATTTTCGGCACATTGACGTCTATATAATCCTCATCTGTAATCCACTAACTGACTTAAGATTAGATTTTTCCTTTATTATTTTTTTCTTTATTTTACAAGCTTCTTGCACGGAATTAGAACTTCCCAGAGATCACCAAAGTTAAGCAATATCAAGTCTGGTCAGTACATAGATGTGTGACGCCATAGGAATATAATCTTGGATGTGCAAGTGGTGTAATGGATAGTGCATCGGAATTGTTAATCAAAGAGCCGAGTTCCAATTATAATTGAGCTAGTTATATTCACTCACGAGAAAACACCCACCTCTTCTCTTCCCAATTAATTAATTAATAAGACTTGTATCAGTCACTCAATTATGTGCCATGCGTGATACACGCATAGGCAATCTTTCGATACATGACTGACAAGGCAGATTATTTTCCCGCAGTAGGTTGCCATTTCTTTCTGCGATAGTTGCCATCACGGTCGATTTACCCATAGCTGGAGGGAGAAGAAGAAGATTCATACCTTTCCCAAGGGTATTAGCACATCAGTGAATGTAATGGATTCGACTGGAATTCGAACTCGGCTCTCCGATTCCTTAATCCAAGCCGCTTTCCATTACTCCTCCGGGAAAATCTAAAAGAGGATTCATACCTTTCCCAAGGGTATTAGCACGTAAGTGAATGTAATGGATTCGACTGGAATTCGAACTCGGCTCTCCGATTCCTCATCCGAGCCGCTATCCATTACTCCTCCGGGAAAATCTAGAAGAGGATTCATACCTTTCCCAAGGGTATTAGCACGTAAGCGAATGTAATGGATTCGACTGGAATTCGAACTCGGCTCTCCGATTCCTCAATCCAAACCGCTATCCATTACTCCTCTGGGAAAATCTAGAAGAGGATTCATACCTTTCCCAAGGGTATTAGCACGTAAGTGAATGTAATGGATTCGACTGGAATTCGAACTCGGCTCTCCGATTCCTCAATCCATGCCCCTATCCATTACTCCTCTGGGAAAATCTAGACGAGGATTCATACGTTTCCCAAGGATATTAGCACGTAAGTGAATGTGATGGATTCGACTGCAATTCGAACTCGGCTCTCCAATTCCTCAATCCGAGCCGCTATCCATTACTCCACATTGCGATAAAACAACTTTGCTGGATAATATAGACTGATAGGACACTTAGTTGTGGTTTAATGGTAAATAAAAATGATTCTCTCCATCATTCCCAACTGGGAACCGCGTTCAATCCTTTCTTGGTTCTCTAGACTTTCACCATTGTTTGGCCTTTAAGCTACGTTTCGTAAATCATTATACTATATTAATTGTTAGAATATTTTCTCGCATCAGGTTGCGGCAGACCAGTTGCCATCCAAGACTATAGAACCCAGTCTGTCCTGCTATTTACCCATAGCGGAGTGGGGAGAGAAGAAGATTCATACCTTTCCCAAGGGTATTAGCACGTAAGTGAATGTAATGGATTCGACTGGAATTCGAACTCGGTTCTCCGATTCCTCAATCCAAGCCGCTATCCATTACTCCTCTGGGAAAATCTAGAAGAGGATTCATACCTTTCCCAAGGGTATTAGCACGTAAGTGAATGTAATGGATTCGACTTGAATTCGAACTCGGCTTTCCGATTCCTCAATCCAAGCCGCTATCCATTACTCCTCTGGGAAAATCTAGAAGAGGATTCATACCTTTTCCAGGGGTATTAGCACGTAAGTGAATGTAATGGATTCGACTGGAATTCGAACTCGGTTCTCCGATTCCTCAATCCAAGCCGCTATCCATTACTCCTCTGGGAAAAATCTAGAAGAGGATTCATACCTTTCCCAAAGGGTATTAGCACGTAAGTGAATGTAATGGATTCGACTGAATTCGAACTCGGTTCTCCGATTCCTCAATCCAAGCCGCTATCCATTACCCTCTGGGAAAAAATCTAGAAGAGGATTCATACCTTTCCCAAGGGTATTAGCACGTAAGTGAATGTAATGGATTCGACTGGAATTCGAACTCGGTTCTCCGATTCCTCAATCCAAGCCGCTATCCATTACTCCTCTGGGAAAATCTAGAAGAGGATTCATACCTTTCCCAAGGGTATTAGCACGTAAATGAATGTAATGGATTCGACTGGAATTCGAACTCGGTTCTCCGATTCCACAATGCGAACCGCTATCCACTACTGTACCTCCCAAGACTTGTACCACTAAACAATTATTATCTCAAAAAAATTCTTACACTCTAAAAATATTTCCCGGCTCTAACTAACCCGAAAAATGATAAACCGTAAAAATACTGATTAGCTACACAGACATGTTCAGACACATTCATATTCTCTTGAATATAAATGTATAGAATTGAATGTTCCACAAAGTGAGGGATCTGCTTATTTATAATTTGTAATATAGAATAGATCCCTCATTTTTTTTATCCAGTTATTTTGTTTGTTTATTAAATTCTCATTATGTATGGAATTAACTTTTCTCCCAACAGCTATGGGTTAATTAGTAAGACGCGTATCCCTAGACTATTATTTTCTACCCCCCCACCTCACAAAAACACATTCTTACAACCTAAAAATATTTTCTGGCTGTAAATATCCTCCAATGTGTGGATAAACCGTAGAAAACTAACCAATAAATTATTTTGTGTTTTCTGAATCTGCCATAAAGTATTAAGGTTTAATGTTAACCTGGCCAATCCGTGATTAACTGGGGCAAGGAATGGTTTTTAATTTTTTATGCCTCTAAAACAAAGCTGCTTTCATTTAATCACCACAGAGAACCTTTTCTGCATGCCATGACATGAAATGGAGCAAATGTATCGAATCAATTGCTCTCCGTGAAAAGTTTGTTCATTTGTCGTGCCAGAAATGTTTTCTCGTTAGAATCCATCTTGTACATTTTTAAATCAACCATTCGTCCGTACATTGAATGCTGTGACAATATCTAGCCTGGTGCTGATTCTATGCCGCTCGAAATTCCTGAAACGAAGGATCTATTATGCAATTAATCCAAACCTTGCATCTCGATTTTAGTCACTTTCTCACCGATATGAAGTGCTTTCTCTTGTCTTTTTGTTATGCCATAGTACCTATTCTATTGTAATGGACTCTCCCATAGATAATAAGTAGGAGTAACAGTGGAAAGTCTGGCAGAATGGCATCTCGCGGTCTTTGACTGCGGACGCCTCCTGTCTAACTCTCTGCGTAAGCAGAGAGGAACCCGGACGAGATTTCGTCCGGGGAGGTAGACAGGGCCTGAACCCGTCTAATCGGCTTCAAAAGGCTATTTTTTTGGCCGAGCCTACGGGCTCGGGGAAACCCACAAAAAAACGGCCTTGTGCCATATTCTTTTCAGTGGGTGAAAAGATAAATACCGAATGGCATCTCGCGGTCTTTGACCGGACGCCTCCTGTCGAACTCTCTGCGTAAGCGAAGAGGAACCCAGACGAGAAGGGCAAGGTTTCGTCCGGGGAAACAGGGCCTGAACCCGTCTAATCGGCTTCAAAAGGCTATTTTTTGGCCGAGCCTACGGGCTCAGGGAAACCCACATAAAAAATCGGCCTTGTGCCATATTCTTTTCAGTGGGTGAAAAGATAAATACCGAATGGCATCTCGCGGTCTTTGACTGCGGACGCCTCCTGTCGAACTCTCTGCGTTAGAGAGGGAACCGAACGAGGCTTTGCCGAAGGGCAAGGTTTCGTCCGGGGAGGTGGACAGGCCTGAACCCGTCTAATCGGCTTCAAAAGGCTATTTTTTGGCCGAGCCTACGGGCTCGGGGAAACCCACATAAAAAACGGCCTTGTGCCATATTCTTTTCGTGGGTGAAAAGATAAATACCGAATGGCATCTCGCGGTCTTTGACTGCGGACGCCTCCTGTCGAACTCTCTGCGTAAGCAGAGAGGAACCTGACGAGGCTTTGCCGAAGGGCAAAGTTTCGTCCGGGAGGTGGACAGGGCCTGAACCCGTCTAATCGGCTTCAAAAGGCTATTTTTTTGGCCGAGCCTACGGGCTCGGGGAAACCCACAAAAAACCGGCCTTGTGCCATATTCTTTTCCGTGGGTGAAAAGATAAATACCGAATGGCATCTCGCGGTCTTTGACTGCGGACGCCTCCTGTCGAACTCTGCGTTAGCAGAGAGGAACCCGACGAGGCTTTGCCGAAGGGCAAGGTTTCGTCCGGGGAGGTGGACAGGCCTGAACCCGTCTAATCGGCTTCAAAAGGCTATTTTTTGGCCGAGCCTAC